GGGATGTATTTGGGACTCCCTCGAATCTTTTCATCGATATCAGAGTGAAAACCATTTTTTTTTATTTTCCCAGCCCGGTAACCACGAATGTCTTACTTTGCGCACACACACTACAGAAATTATTGGTATGTTTACGCAAAGTCGATTCGCACTCGCTCGGGTCGGACCGCTTCGTGGGGCGCCGACGATGTCCCCTGAGATGAACGGACGGACAAACAGCTCACAGCATATCATTTCTTATTAGCTCCACGATATTACTTACATGATCAACTCCGTAATTACATAAACATACCTAGAGATTGAACAAACAACTCGGAATTAACACCTTACATTTACATAAACCCATGACTGACAGCCAGTTTTAGCAGTCAAAGCGACTGTTTGAATCATGCTTTTCCGTCGCTTTTACGCGCAAATCACACTGACATCGCACCGAACTCGTAAATTAACATCGCAGTTGTATCGCGGACATATTCACGTTTGTGTACGACATGAAAATAAAGCATCACAGGCGTTAAGATTGCCGAAAAGAGTGATTTTGCGGAGCACCCCGAAGAGGTGTTTCACGCTTGAGTGTCATTTGCATACTGAAAAGTGGCGGCCATCTTTCCTTTTATACACTCAGACCCGCGGTTTAAAATTCAAGTTTCAATAACCTATGAAACCACATTGTACAAATGGATTTTTTTAAATGTAGTTCAAAATAACAACAAGCAAACTAAGATAAGGAACTAAAAGACAGAAGATTAATTAACAACCTAGACAAAGGTCTCTCAAAGAACGTTATTAATGCAACCCCTCCAATTGTGGCAATGGCACCCACCCCTTTGTAAAATTAAACATGGTATGTTCTTATAAAATTAGCAAGTCAACCTTGGCGATTTGCCAAGTTTCAGTGCGAGCTGAACGAATATGTTCATTTTATTGCCGGTGTATAAAATGAAAATAAATAGATATGGTAGAATTTACGCCACTGTGGACAAATTATATATGAATTTTGTAGCCCTTTTACGAAGTCAAAATCCACATATAGATATTCTGGTAAATAATTTGAAAATACCGTAGAAAAAGTAGTCTACGCTGCTGCATATGCCCTGGTTTTGCGGAGTGTATACAAAGTCAAAACCTGGCAAATTTTCAACATAGAAACCAAGGTGCGCCGGTCAGCTTTCATGCAGACTGGGCGCTTGTAAACAATAACATGTCATTTCCCTCTGTTAGGATAAGTAATATTTTCTTCATATTCCCGTCCATGAAATCGTACACGGCTGACGGAACAGCTGATCAACCAAACACGAGGCCTCATTTGCATACCAACCCACAACAAAAGAATAGAGCACATTTTTAGTCCTTTCATATTCCCAAACAATCTTAGAATATTGCAAACATCTTATCGATGACATTAAAAATACAAATATAATGCGATCAAATAACAAGCGTTTCATTTATAGTGATTTCAAAGATGAGAACATAAGAGAAGAAACATGGCCAGGTCCCACGCCACGCTTTCCTAGTCAATGAAACCACACGCACGCCCATGTGAAAATTGTAAATAAATATTTTTTAAAAATCAGAAATACCATTTTCAATGATAAAAATTATGCAGCCGTTTGCCCTCCATGACAGTGCATCCTATGAAACAGAAAATAGTTTCATATGTGATGCGACGAGCAAAATACAGAGCGAAATTTGTCTCATACATAATGTCAACACGGCCATGTGATCGTAATTTCAAAACATACATACGAATTTTCCCCTATTTTTCTCGCGCATTGCCCATAGTTTTACCGCCCCGTAAACATTGAGATTGATAACCATAAAAATGTACATGACATTATGCATAAATACACATGCTTACTATGAGAATACATGCTCGCGATATTTAAAAAATATATTAAATTAAAAATACTAGAAAATACTACGAGTCGAACAGCTGACGGGGGTCGTTTTAAAAACCCTTACCTGCACAGCCCACCGACAGCCTCGTGTTGTACGCGATAATCGTGTAATCCCTTCGCTTTTTCAGGATTTCTCACTTCAAATGCCATTTTTAACGATCCTGGGTACAGTTATATCACAAACGCGGAAGTTGTTATTGGTGCAAAATATACCAATTTTGGGTCCTCGATACCGGCTTCGTAAAGTGCGTGAATGGTGTGCTATTCTGGCGGGAAACAGCTGGGCCGCCACTCAGCTGCGACAACACATCACTCATTTATCCGTCCGCTTACTACGGCGTCTGAGAATACTGTCTCGTAATTTTTCTCGATTCTAAACTATCAAATACTCAAGTATCTCACAATATGAACACGAATTAGTGACAGCGAGAACAAATTGAGTTAATTTCTTTCAATATGACATTTTTATAATCCTGGATGTTTTAGGAATATTTTTAGCGGAGGAATATGAGTGTGGTGTATGTACGGGCGATGCGGCTGGATCAGCTGACAGTTGGCATGGCGCGGGAAATAAGCAAATACTGTCAACAGCTGTGTGAAATTCCATTCAACGAAAGGTTGGGAGAATATCTATTTTCTGGTTACAATACACGATAGATTAGATCGCATACGTACCTCACACTGCGTAATGCATTATCCATATTCTGACATTCTATAAATATACCTTGTTGCAAATAAATAACAAAAACATTTTGAATATTTTTTTAAAAAAGGGACAATAATTAACGTGTGTATGTATTGTTTATATATAAAGTCTCACCGTCATTTTGGGTCAGTGACATCAATGAATGGAATGCTACAACCACCAATCAGAATCACGGAACAGTCAAAACCGGTAATTATTTCTAAAAATAAACATGCAGATCAAGTCCATCCCTGGCTGTGATTGGATAATGGAAATTCCGCGGGTTTTCGCCACGCGGTCAGCTGTTGTTTACATATATCAGCTGCTACGAGAAACCAGCGCCTTCCCACCTAAGAGCTGCTGATCATAGATTAACAAACTTGGACCAAGTTTCGCCAAGATATGTATGTACAACACGACATAAGTTCCAATACGATACCCAACCTTTTACATGAGTGGAGTCATTTTATATACAATTAGTCACTGACTATGATGAACATGATGAAAGTTGAGTTGTGATGTCACTCACAGCCTTGGACTTGGTGCGTCTAGTCGCACGTGATTTAAATGTAGAACCATGGTAGAACGAAGTTCCAGCAGGGCTTCGTGCAGATACGTCCACAAATTTACGACGAATTATGGTTATGTCCCGGGAGCTGAAAACTTTAAAACCAGTAAATATTTAATAAGGGCAATAAATTAAATTATTATATTAAAAATCATTGCACTGAATACAATATCTATTAAACTTACTTTTCTTTGTTATTTTCTCCGACATGTTGTAGTACACTGTAGTATCATTTTCTTTAGTGTGTTTTAAAAAAACATGTAAGTGAGACGATTAAAATTAAAATGTAATCAAACTAATGAAAATGACACTACAGTTACAATACCGTTATATGAAATAAAAGTTATATACTACATGCTTTATCAATTAAATATGGTACTGACTACCATTCAAACATATACTCAGTTTTCCATTATTTTCATGTTGTTGCTCACATGACCGAAATATTAATGCGTGATCACCGAACTACTTTTTACGGAATGGAAAGAGGTCGAATTTCCACGAAATTGTGATTCACTGGCCAACTAGCGCCCCATGAGATCGCCTTAGTATTTCTTATTTTAACTTTTCACTCTTACCTTCGGTAAAAGGTCTCATGGACATTTAGTTTGGTAACATATGGTAACAAATAAAATCATGCGTAGTTTATTAGATTAACACTCCTTAATATTGTCGTTGAAATGACATTTATAAAAAAAATATATATATATAATGTGTAGCTAATGCATGTGGTATTGTTATTATTTTGTGGCACGAATGAATATATACACAAGTGGTGCGTGTTTTGCCCATAATTAATAATTAATACCCGCAAACGGCATACAGATACAAGCCACGCATTTGTCTTTTCGCAATTATTCAATAGAGTAATTGAAAATATCTGGATTATAAACAGATCAGTAAATAAACTAAGGGACCGACCATTTGTGTTTGCCTTGGTTGTAATTTCCCCAGTAAAACCACTAAACTAAAAGAAAAGCACCACAAAAAAATGGGAAATTCCAACTTGCGATCTTTGTCCAAAGAAGTGAATATAACCACAGAATAGAAATCTATAAATTGTACGAAAACGAATTTACAATATTGGAACCGAATAACTTGTATTGACGAATGAACAATACAAATTTTGCATGAATAAAAATAGCATTGACAATTTTTTCTGCTTATAAGTTTGGTTGTGTTTCAATTTACGTGCAATAAAGAGTATTAGTTTTAGCCAATATGTTTGGGATGCGTATCAATGTGTTTAGTGCTTTACGTGACGATGACGTATTACCTTGTATCTGTATTGCTGCTGTAGTTAGCGTTCATCTGACCGCAAAGGAGAATTTATAAGCATTGCAATAAAGTTACATTGCAACAAGAAAAAAAAATGCGCCAACTTGAGTTGTGAATGTGAGAAAAATGTTCTTCCTGAAAGATATACAGTAATTTCACAGTCAAACCTGTGTATAGTGACCACCCAAAAGACTTTATATGGAGGTTGTTTTTTTTTATTATGAAATTCAAACTCATAATTTTGACACGATACTTACCCAGATAATATTGGGATTGCACTGTTGCAGCAAAGGCACATTTGTTTGAGTTGATCAAAATCAATTAAGTTTGAGAAATGAAACATTATTTTATAATCAGAGAGCTAATTATGATTTTGGTTTCTTAACAATGCCGAATTTACGGAAATTTTGCTGAAAGGGTGGTCTCGTGGATGGATGGTCTATATACGCAGGTTACTCATATATTATACTTTGAGAATGCCTAAAAGCAGGTCACTAAAATGTTTGACTATACACAAAATGTTTTTTTTTTTTTTTTTCATGTATTTTATACACAATGTGGAATATTTTTCTTTCTAAGATTTAGGCGAGCAGATATATTTTTTATGCCTGTAATATTTTTGTTGTTGTAAATTATGAGAAATCCCTTCTTTTGGCAATTTGTTCTTGTTTGTTCTTCAACTGGTATAGTTGGTCCCTTGTATTTGTGACTGATCTGATAGACAGACCGACCTGCAGAGCACAGGTCCATGGACCAATCAACGTGCAACCGCGCCCTCATTTGTTGTAGTCGACTGCGTGGGAGTATGAGCTCGTGTTAAATTTCCCTGGTCAATCCAGTCGAGGCTGTAACGTATATATCACACGCAGTTTTCTCGGGAAATTTTGTCTCTTGCACAATTATAATATCAATAGAAAGTCGTAGATTATAAAGTAATTTCAAGAACATTCAGTATAACCATTAAATGTCAAGTTTTACCATAGTGTCTATGGTTTTTTACTTTGTAAATGCGTACCCCCTGCGAAAGCCCCATCGCTCTGACACAAACACCCAATCTGGGACCCCGCGAAGCCGAGAGCGACCAATCAAAACTATGTTTGGCATGTTGGGGGTCTTAATTGATTTACGCAGTCGCAGAAACGTCGACTCCATGCTGTCATCTTTCCAGGCAATTTTTTCTTTGGGTTTACAGAAAATTTGGGAAAATTGGAAGATTTGCGGAGGGTGGCTTCCATTTCACGATAGCTACCGATTCCCAAGGAGCGAGGCAATTGGTCTGTTTCTACGCAAGACAAGGTTTGTTCCCCGGGTATCCTAATATTTAATGTTTTCTTTGTTACTGTGTTTATTTCGTTCAAATACCGATAAATTGACGGTAAACACGAAGTAACACTTGCATTCATAATTCCAATGGACGTCTATAATATAAGTCAGTGATATTACTGTTTTTTTTTTAAATTATTAAATCATCAGCAACTACTTCCCTTATCTTTGGTATACCAGTGTCAACAGCTTGTAGTTTGTGGTGACCTTTAGGGTACCAATCG